AATGACCAGGTCATCTACATATGTTATTGTGTAATGACTGTCGTTATTAAGGCGACTGATGAGGGTGTCGAGGACCATGTTCCACAGTAGAGGTGATAGCACTCCTCCCTGTAGACATTCCTACGCAACAAAGCCTCTTATATTCACTTTTTCTACTCTTATATTTACTGCTCGCTTTGAGAGCCAGTTTTGTATCCACCAGTAACTATCTGTGAAACATTCCTGTTGGTTAGTGAGTGTATTATCTTTGGGAAGGTGGTTTTATCAGAAGTACCTTCTATGTCTATGAAAACATCCAAGGCGGACTCCATATTGTCCAGGGATCTCTCTATCTGGCCAGCAACTAGATGAAGGACTCAATCAGTAGATTTGCCTGGGGTGTATGTATGTTTTGGTTTGGGTATAGTGGTGTTGTAATCACCGCATCCTTTATGTACCTTTCGAATAGCCTTTCCAATGTCTTCATGGAAAACAATGTCAGACTAATTAGTTGATAAGTTTTTGGGATAGATCCATCCTTCCAGCTTTGGGTATGAATACCACTTTTACCTCTCTCCATTTTTTGGGAATATACCTTAGAGTCAACGAGGATCTGAATATACCCACCAGGTGCGGTGTAAGTTTTTCCAGACCCCACTGAAGTAGGGCTGGATAAATACCGTCAGGTCCTGGCGTTTTAAATGGAGAGAAGCTGGATATTGCCCATCTAATTTTTTCATCGTCTACATTGTGTTTGGCAGTTTGCCATTCATAGACAGATGGGATATATTCTTCCTCTACCCAGTCAGCCACGTCTGTGATGTACAATGGATGAAACAAAAAGTTACTAGATTTTGGCACCGTCGTAGATTAATTATATCATGTTATTATGTCTGGTGGCAGTTATTAAAATAATTTTGAAATTGTCAGTTTGTTATAAATTTGTATATTTTAAAAGTTTTTATAAGTATTCAACAAAATGATGAAACGACTTAGTGACCAATCGAAAACTTTAATCTTAAATGTAATTTCCGATTTTAAAAGAAACAAATCTATTTGCAAGGCGTGAATCGCCATGTTGAAAGTTTAATTTATAAATAATTTGGCATTAAAGAAGGCTGTGATCAATTTTCTAAGCTTTTAAGTACTAAGTATACAACTGTATTACAAAGCTAGTGCTGTAAAATCATTTAATCCTATGTGTGATTGAAGATTAATAAGTTTAGTGAAGATGATGAGTTTTTTTATCCATGAACACCAAAGATTACATCGAAAAAACAGTGCTGGCGCATACTCTCCGCCTAGTTGAAGTTATTTTATATTACGTAGGGAGTAACAATCACCTTTCTCATACAGTTTGCGAAAAATAAAATCATATCAAGGAAACAGACTCAGTGACCTAGCTCTAATAAGTATTGAATGAAAAGTGTAAAGAGTGGACGCCTTGTTTTCTTAATAAACATCTTTCCTATAGTCTATTTTTATGTATGAGAGAGTATTAAAATAATAAAACGTTCGTAATCCATAGGCGTATCACTTCTTTTAGTAGACAGTTAAAATATTTTTTGAAGTTATTCCTCGAGTATACACTTATATTTTCACCTAATTAACCTGCTTATAACTTCTAAACAGCTGAAGTTAAAAAAGTGCAATTTTTTCTAAAATGTTTTATTTTTCCACAAGGTATGTTAAGAACATTGTGTCAAACGGGTTATGTAGGTATAAGGATTTAAACTTTGACTTTTAAACAACGTTACGTTCATAAATAATAATTTTAATATAAAAACTACTTCTTACCTACAAATCCAAATCAGAATCGAAATCAGAAGATGAACTGTCGCAACCAATATTTACAATGAGTGGCTCGATCATTTCATCAGTAATATTGTCCAACTTCCACATTTTCTCTTCTTCTTTAATCGTATGATTTACTGCCTTTTCCCAGTTTTCAGGCTTCACATTATTTACAGCCTCCAAAAACAACTGTTTAACATCACTCATTTTAAAAGAATTATTTTTTCTTGAAACTTCTCCCTTTATCTGTGCCCATATCAGTTCAATCGGGTTTACTTCGCAATGATATGGTGGTGATCTAACCACCGTCATCCCACGATTTTTTGCAATTTCATTAATTTCATATTTTTTTAATTTCTCTTTATGAAGGGAACACAAACGATACAGTTCTTTTCTCACAGAACCGGGATGGAACTTAATATTCTTTGAATTTAGCCAATTCTGTAAATCTTTTTTTAACCACTTGGTTGTGGGCATTTTTTCTATAAGTCTCGAGTGATAACTTGCATTATCCATTACTATTATACAGTTCTGAGGAAGAAGATCTATCATTTGTTCGAATCACTCATCAATCAATCATCAGCATTCATGTCCTCATGGTAGTCACCGGTGCGAGTAGATTCAAAAGTCAATAAACCACCTTTAACAAAACCGTTTGGACTACCGATGTGTACTATTATTAGTCTGCGCCCCTTTCCTGATGGTGGATTTAAACCAGTAGATAAATTATTTAAAAAAGCCTGTCTTCGACCTCTAACAGTTTCATCTTGCCAAAATTTATTTGGTTTATATCCCTCGTTCATCCATGTTTCATCTAAATAAAATATATTTCTTCTTTGGTTTCTCATTTCTTTTATAGTCCTTAGGTAATTTCTTCTCCATACTACAATATCGCTTCTTTCTATTAAAATAGACTTTCTGGAATGCTTTTTCCATAGAGAACTTATTTCTTTTAAAAGTTTCCATAGTGTGCTTCGACTCATTTCAGGGTAATCCTTATCATCTCGAACCGTGGCAAGAACTTTGTCTACTGTCGGAAATTCTTTTCTAAAGAAGAACGCATGCACTTTCCTTCGAAGTCTTTCTTTCAAAAGATTTTCTAATTGAAATTTTGGTTTTCCTGGAGCTTTACGTGCTGTTTGAAACTCGCCACATTTCTCTTGTTTAACGACTCTGTAAATCGTAGATTTCCCAACACCAAGCGTACTACTAACTAATTCCACTGTGTCATCAACACTTTTACATAAATGTTTGTTTGAAAATGATTTAAAACAATTAAATATTAATGTTTTTTCATTAACTGTTAAAGGACCGATTTTTTGTCGTTTACGTGGCCCTTCCATATTTTCCATGATCACACTAGAATTCACACTGCATCTTGCAAGTTGCAACTAAACGACATTTAGTAAACTGTCAAAAATACACAACTTGGACCTCCTTACTAAATGGAAAACCTATAATCGCATTTTCGGTGAAATTTGTTGAAAAGGTATTTATCTACTTATAATTCGATTACTGTAAGAAATTCTTGGAATGAAAATAAAACAAAATTGGCAAATAGGTACTTATTGAAAATAATCTTAAGATACGGCTATGTAATCTTTAATACACAGGGCTTTTGGCCTGACCAAACCTTTTTCTATTGTTATGTACAGTTTATGTTTATAAAGGACCAATAAAAGACCCAAAACTTGTAATAGCTCAGGTACATTTATTACAATTTTAGGAAATATTTAGATTATTCTGTAAAAATATTTAAAATGACCGTACTAAGTTTTGTATTAGAAATGCTGTTTTATTACTCTCTCATACATAAAAATAGACTATAATATGTGTTATTTTTCTTATTAATGAATAAGTATTAAAAAACCGACTTCAAAATCGTCCAGATGCCATCACCACATCTTAACCAAATTTATTTGGGACCACCCCTGAGGTATTCCATTACTAACAAAAAAGAATCATAGAAATCGGACAAGGTGGTAAAGAATTATCGCTAAATATACATAAAAAATGAAGAGTTTGAGGATTTTCTCATGGATCCAATTATTAAATTTTGACCAAATTTATATGGGACCACCCCTGAGGTACCCCTTTACTAACAAAAAAAGAATCATAGAAATCGGACAGGGTGGTAAAGAATTATCGCTTAACATACATAAAAAAAACACCGATAAATTGAGAACCTCCTCCTTTTTTGAAGTCTGTTAACAAAACCATAAAGATTCGGCAAAATGTCACTATTTCTATGTTTTTAAATAAAGTCTGACCATTAAAAGATTTTCTTTTGTTCACAACACTTTAAAATAATGTGGATAAAGAGGCTTTTTAGCTGGCATATTTTTATTAATATGCAAATCTCATTATACGATTAAAAAAACATTGAAGACAGAAGTTTGAGCGCCCCAGAAAAGCTTCGCCCCCTACTCCCTTTGGTCCAAGCTACGGCATTTCTTCCTCCTCAACAGCCCAGCTCACTTATTCTTATTTATAGAAAGTAGAAAATGGCAACGTTTAATGTTTTGCTGGAGTCTTGACGAAAAAGAACTTTTGACAGTATCAGTCTTATTGATATTTGATATCCAAAGAAAGTGTGAACGAATCTTATAGATCAATTTTTCCATCTTCTATGAAGTTTTAATTATATATTTTAACTGAAACAATTATTTTCCCCTTGTTAACAAAAAGCTTGTTTACTTTCACATAAGTTTCGTCCAAAACTAGCAGGTTTCCTCTTAGATGTTATTATAAATTTGAAAATAGGAAGTAGTCAATGGGAGCTCAGTCGATTGGTGAAAGTGTTCAATTTATTGCGCTTTTCTTCGAAAACAATGAATGCATAATAAAAATAGCTCATGTAGATGAAAACGTTAATTGGTAGTATATTTAACAGCTTACAATACCAGTGCTGTAACAAAATAAATCGCAAATGCTAAACACATGATAAAATTTAAATTAAGCAGATGGGTTTAGTTTAAAATTCCGAAAAAAAAAAAAATAGATAAATTGTTTGAATTCGAAAAATATATTTTTTAAAATTTAAAATTACTCCTACGAATTAATGTAAACTATTTTTAAACCTCAAAAGTGAAAATAAATTTATTGAAAAATTGAAGTCTCTGTCCCGGGAAAGATTCAAACCCTCCACATCCGCGTTCCAGATATTTGATATCCGACTTTCGGTCTTCAATTTTAATATTAGTTTCGAAATATTTAAATTATCTTACCAAATAACAGTCTATAGGTTTCTCCCTGTGAACTTTGTACGATTTCTGTAACTCTGTTTGTTTCAGTGCGTGTGCTATGTGAAGGGCGCTGGCATCAAATCGGCCATATTGGTAAGATGGTGAAGTCTCTGGGTTGTAGTAATTCGGACTATAACCACCGTAGGTAGGGGAATGTGGTTGGTTGTGTGTGCCATTGACGTGGGTTCGTATGCTAACACCTGAAAAACAAATAGATTATGTGTTAGTTTTTAGGATATTTTCAATAAATTCTAAGAAAGCTTTTATCAAATATTTAGAATAACCAAATTTGAATAATAAAGGATTATATCTTGAGTAAAATTTCTAAATCATGAAATAATGAAGGAAAACCAAATGCATTTGGTAAAAAATTGAGGACCATTCACATTCAATTTCTAGAAACATTCTAAAGAGTTAATACACAATCATTAAGAGGACATTTTTTTTGAGCAAAAAAGGGACTAAAATATTTATAAGGATATATTTCAAGGACAATATTATTTGATTTAAAACTTGTTATAAGTATGAAATAAAATAAAACTACTTTTTCATGTATTTGTGTCTAGTAAAATAAAGACAAAATCAACAACAGACATTTTCTTGATTAATTAGTTATTGATAATAAACAAAATTGCGTTTAAATTATGCAGCTTTCTACTACCTATCATAAAAATGATACATTTCAAAATTTATTACTTTATGTAGTTATTCAACTTTCTTTGGGATAGACATGAATACAAAATGTTAGTTTCAGTGAATCAGTGAATTATAAACAACTTTCAAAGTTCAATGATATTAATGTTAATAACTGACAATGTCAATTGCATTTCAATTATAATTGTTCACCTTTTCTGCTACTTTCTTATTATCTTCTCGTCATTTAATAAAATTATAACAAAAAACTGGAAGTTTTATGTAAAAAATATTGAGAGGTACGTTTGTTAACACAAAGTATAATATAATTATTTAATAATACAAAGTAGTCATTCTCTAATTCTTGAAATAAAATCATGTGTGCCATGCAATGTCAAACATTTAATGATCTACAAGAGAGTTGTCATTTTAATTTTATAATAGATTATCCATTTTTCAAATGTGATCAATGTATTAAAAAAAAACGCAACTAGTTTCGACCTTATTCGGTCATCATCAGACAATATAAGAACGAGAAATAGATAAATATTGATATAAAAACCTTTGACATCATCAAAATTTATTAACTATCCTGTGGTGGTGAGATTGCCAAAAATTTAAAATAAAAAATGTAAAATTGGGAAAAATTGTCAGATGGAATTTTGAGAAAAGTCACAGGGAAAATATTGGATGTTGGGATAGTTTTAAAAAAGTTGGGATAATTTTGTAAGTTTTAATTGCTGTTGATTTGAATAGTTGAAATAAATATAAAAAGAAAAGAATAGCTAAAGATATTTTTATTTAAGCTGAAGATAAAGGTGAATCATATAGCAGAAAAAAGAATTGGCCAGATGAGGAATAAGAGTTACAGGAGAAAGTATAATTTTTAAATTATATTTCGGGATATTAATCGGAAAATTTGAAATTTGAATTTGAGTAAGACCTTTGACAGTTTCCTTTAATTTAATTGTTAATTTTATAGTATAAATTAGATGTATAGTACTAGATAAAAGTAGTGGGTGAAAGTTTTGAATCTAAAATTGTGAAAAGAATAGAAAGGGTGAAAATTAAATGAATTTCAAAGAAGGTTAGTTTGATGGAGGGACAATCTGAAGAAGTGGAATAGACAGCATAAGGGGATATGGATGAACAAATGTTAGAAAACACAGTGATAGAAGAAGACCACGAGAAAGAAAAAATAAAACAAAATGATATCTTACACATGTTAATGGAATAAATGAAAAAAGATAGGGAACAGATAATGAACAAAGTGGAGGAAATGAGGAAATGGGAAATTAAATGAAGAAAGATAGACAACAAATAATAAACCAAATGGAGGAAAATAAAAGAGAAGACAAAAAAGAAATTAAGAAATTTATATAAGAAGACAAAGAAGAGGTGATGCAGAAAATAAAAAAGGAGAACATTGAAAAGAAATTAGAAGAATCAATAAGAGAAATAGAAGAGAAAATAAAGGAAGGTAATTGAAGAGCAAAGAAAAGAAGATTAATAAAACGAAAGAGATTAACAATGATATAAGGGTGGAAATAATTGGCAGGAGTATCAAAGTTGAACATTTTAAATTTTATAAGAAAAAGTAGGACTTTTAAAAAAATAAATAAAGAAAGAAATGGACGAACATAAAATTAAGGAAAAACATTTGAGCAAAAAGATGGAAAAGATAAGAATAGAAATTAAAGAAATATTGCATTAGTAAACAAAATAAAAGAAAAACAAAATTAAAGAATTAAAGGAGAAATCGAGAAAGAAAATGAATGAAATTAGAAAAAAAGTCATAGAGAATAACAGAAGTACCAATTAAGATAAAAGAAAAAGAAATAGAGAAGAATTAAAGAAAAAAGTAAGTAAGACGATAAAGAAGGACAGGAAACAAAATGTAAGAAGGAAAAGGAAATAAATAACTATGAAAAATTAAGTTAGTGCCAAACAAAAGTAAAAATATAATACAGAGAAAAACAAAAATTAAACAGTCAGGAGTTCGACCAAAATCAAAGAAAAGATATAAATTTAAGAAGGTGAACGACAAAAATATGTCAAAAAAATGTAAAAGAAGGTAAGGAAAAAAACAAAATTTAATAAGGGGATTTAATGGTAGTCCGTGTATAAAATTATCTAGTAAAAACAATAAGAAATGTTCAAAATTAGGGTAATCCTTTGAAGGTCCATATGAAATTGTAAAATCGAATGCTACTAATAGTCACATAAACTATCAAGATTACGAAATTGTAAGAAAAAGAATATTATGGAGGGAAAGTTATTATGAATTAAGACAAATAGTGATTTATTGCATATATCGAGGGTTCAGAGCCAAAACCCGATAAGTCGGCAAAATTGGAAAATTGACTTTTATATACCATCTAACGCAGTTTTTTGTTCTCTATCTGTCAATATACTTCGTTTTGTGAAATTCCATCTCTAAGTAATGTTAACCGGTATTCTAATAAAGACCAATTTTTGTTCGGGCAAGCATCCTATAAACCAACTTTGTTCCTGTATTAGCCGTAGATCACAGTAACTGTTCTGGGCATAAACAGATAAATCGGTATCGCTGATTTTTCTAATATCTAATTTTAACTTAAAGTTGAGATATTTGACTTTCGCCTAAATGAAAATGAAGAAAGACATACATATATAAAATATAAATAACACAACTTGTTTGATTTTGACTTGTAATAATAAAATCTGTATTGCACTTATTGTATTATTCCTTCTAAATAAATGAATTTGAAACAATGTTAGATGATTTTATATTCCAGAATCGGAAATTATTTTACTTTTTTATGAGAGCAAAAATCTGATAAGTCTTTATTGTGCGTATGCGCCATTAGCATTTGAGTTAGTTTAGTCATGTTCAGTTGTTCAAATTTCTATGAAGGTGACGGACGCTCTGACAAAATGAGTGCGAGATCGCAGAGAATGGTAGCTTTAGCTTGTATACCCCTGTTATAAATAGATACAAGTCCTGAAGGATTATCTATGGTAAAACAGCATATAGAATTCTTTCCTGTGATGGAATCCCATTATGCATGGAAAGATACAAAAAAAACAATACTTAGAGAGCAACTTATCTATAAAGCAAATGTACCACTCTTACAAAGAAATATGTGAGATAAAGCAGACCAAACCAGTTTCCGAATACTGTTATAGAGCTGTATTCTGTGAAGATTATAACCTTAGTTTTTTTAAACCCAAAAAGGACCAATGTCCAATTTGCGTAAATTATTTCAAAGCCGATGCGGAGAGGAAGTCCAGTCTAGAGTCGGAGTATTTACAGCATCAAAAGAGAAATAAGGATTGTTTAGCCGCCAAAGAAGAAGACAAAAATCGTGCAAATTTTTGCCGTTACATTAGATTTGCAAGCGGTTTTACAGATTCCAAGTGGCCAGGTAAGCCAGCTGTATTATTCTAGAAAATTGTTAATGCATAATCTAGTTATATATGAATCCGCGTTGCCTAATAATGCGTATTGCATGTGTTGTAGCGAAGTAAATGGAAAAAAGGGGAGTTGCGAGATTGGAAGTTGCATATATTACTACTTAAAGGAGTGTGTCCCAAAATATGTACGCCACGTTACGTTATTCTTAGACACATGTGGCGGTCAAAACCGAAATCAGTACATTACTGCAATGATTCTTTGGGCAGTTCAGAAAATAGAACATATTGATGTCATAAAACAGAAGTTTTTAGAGAGCGGCCATTCTTATATGGAATGCGACAGTGTACATTTGGCGATAGAAGCAGCTTGTAAACACTCTTCCATTTATTCCGTAAACGACTGGAAAAAGATTTTTCAACAAGCTCGCAGGAAGAAAAAAAAAATATCAATGACGTTAAACATACAGTACTGCCATGTAGAGTAAAGGAATTTAAATATTTCGAAATACTTGATCTTAAATCATTAGCAGCCAAATTAATTAAAAACAGAACACGAGGTGACAACCATCTAACTGTAAACTGGTTGAAAATAAAAAGGCTGAAATATCTTAAAGACCAACCAAATAAAATTTATTATAATTATGACATGTCCACTAATTTTCAAACCATAACCACTTCCAATACCAATCGAAATTTCGAGGATTCACAGTCAACTAGAACCAGAAAACAAGGGAAAAAAAATAAAGTACCTACAGCAAATAACTTTGAGTTTCCAAGTGAAATACCATTTTTATATGACTCGCAGTTGCCAATAAGTAACGCAAAAAAAGGTTCTGTTAAAACTCTGCCGAAAAGAAATAATTCCTGAAGAGCTTCATGAGTGGTTCAACAAGTTAAAATTATCAGCTGATGTAGATCGTATACCGGACCTAGACGTCAACGATGAGCCCGAATTAGAAGAAGAATCTTAAATTTGATATTATTTAGCAAATGTATTTTAATTTCTTTAGTATCTTTTTCCTTGTTTTAGTTAAGTTTTATAAGTTAAGTAATTTTTAGCTTATTTCTTTTGTTATTTTACCTAAATAAATTTTTTAACCAGTGTGTTTTTTAATTGTAAAGGGAATTACTTAGAAAAAATCTTTGGAACTTAATTTTTTTAAACTAGGTA